CCCCCCCGCCACCGGCATCTTCACCTGCCCCGTGGGCGGCGTCTACTACTTTGCGTACCACGTGCACGTGAAGGGCACCAGCGTGTGGGTGGCCCTGTACAAGAACAACGTGCCTGCCACCTACACCTACGATGAGCACAAGAAAGGCTACCTGGACCAGGCGTCCGGCGGGGCCGTGCTCCAGCTGCGGCCCAACGACCAGGTCTGGGTGCAGATGCCCTCGGACCAGGCCAACGGCCTCTACTCCACCGAGTACATCCACTCCTCCTTCTCCGGATTCTTGCTCTGCCCCACATAGCCCGCGGGCCTGTCACCCTGTGTCACCCTGGCCTCCTCCCTTAGTGGTAGAGTGACCTTTTCAGTTACAGAGAACCTCCATTTAAAGAAAAAACACCCCAAAGGCTGAGCAGAGGTGGCCATGGCCTTGGCCCGAGGAGACCGGCTGGCTCTCTCCCTCCGTGCACCCCAGGTGGCTTCTGGAAGGGGCGGCCTCTGTCCCTCTCCCCTAAGTTTCTGCAGTGTCCGACCCTGGTCAGTCTTCAGGCAGGGCCCCAGAACCTAGCCCAGCCCCGAGTCCCGGACTCTGCTGGGCCCTGAAGGAGCAGAGGGGGCTGCGCTCCCCCATCCACCCACATGGGGACCTACTGTGGCAGCTGCTCAAGGACTGGGGCGCGGCCTCCCTCCCAGTCCTGGCCCAGCTCTTCCAGCTCCTCCGGGGGCCTCTGCAATGTGACAGTGGGTTCCCTCAAGTTTTGCTTCCCTCCAGGAGAGGGGGAAAGGACCATTGAGGTGGCCATTGTGGACGCCCTGCCAGGACTGTGACACCGGGACGGCGAAGTGGCATGGGCCTGCCCACAGCAGGAAGTCGGTCCTCTCTGCAGGCCTCCTAGGAGGGCTGCCCCTCCTGCTGCTCCAGCCGTGGGGACAGGTGGCTGTGGGACAGGGCCGTGGACCTGAGGCAGGACGGCAGCTCTGGTTGTTTGGCAGGAGGGCGGCTGCACAGGCCCCCGGGGGCTGCCGCAGGCGAGGAAGGCCAGGCCCCGTGAGGTGTCTAGAAGCAGTAGCCGATCACCGACCCGAGCGCCCCCTCACAGAGGGGGGCTGCTCTTCTCACACCAGGTGAGGGACCCTGGCTGAAGTACCTCCACGGCAGAGCACCCCCTTGTCTTCTGCACAAGGTGCCGCTCTCGGGCGGAGGGGAACATGGAACGAGGGGCTCACCTGTGGGGTGTCATCTCCTTCCACTCAGGGCTCCCATTTCCTGTCCTAAGGGGGGTCGGGGCCGACAGGCCAAGGCTCTGAGGGAAGGAGTGACGAAGGTAGGTCTGGACCAGCTCCAGTTGTTCCTGCCACCACCCCCACCCCTCTGTACAAGTGAGAAGCGGGGCCAAGAACAGGGCCCGGCAGGGCGACTGCCGGCCCTCCCCCGTGCGTTTCCCAAGTGGCTGCTCTGTTCACTTTCAGGAAGACGAAAACCCCACCTGCCCATGTGACACTAATTGAAGAAAAGGTTTTGGCTGGAGTTCAGGTCAATTTTTTATCCCGACACACAGGAAAAACAACTAATCTCAAATCGTATCTGGGTGGTGGGGGAGCCCATCCCACCTCCCTCCCTGGGGCAAAGCCACTGTACTCTGATGTGTTAGGGCCGGTCCTGCCTGGTCAGGGGAAGCCCAGGGATGCCCAGGGCTCTAAGTCGGGACCAGGGAACCCAGAAGGAGCGAGGCTTCTGCCAGGTGTCACTCCTGGAGCCTTGAGGGTGGGCTGGCTGCCGTTTCTGAGATGTTTATGGGACTTGGGCTGTAGGTGTCCACTGACTGACTAGCTTTGATAAACGATGTCAGGTCCTAACTAGGAAAACTACATTACCTTGTACATTTTTATATTGATTCCTAATTTTTTTTTTAAAGATTAAGGTTTAAATGTTTTCCGTTAGTAATTTCATTCCTAACCTGGTACAGAAAACTTAGTTCTCTACCTACTCGTCACGTGCTGTGTCAGATCTGGGAAACATGCACTCGGCAGTCACAGAACACGGGCCTTCTTCCTGAAAAGCAAGCACAGTATTGACTGTACTCACACCGCCTCAATAAAACCTGTTGTGTAAAACAGCCCTGTGCTGAGCCAGCGCGAGGCAGAGGGACCTTATTTTAATCTGCTAGAACACATGCATTCATCCAAGAGGCAGGAAAGTGAGAAGGTACCCCCTGGGGGGATGGCCGAACGCAATCTCTCTCTCAGGACTTGGGGCATGCGAGGCGCACCTGGTGTTTTCCAAGCCTCTAGGTCTGACTCTTGAACTGTGCCGTTGGCAAAATGAAATCTAGCCACCTTAACCATCAGGCCACCAGGGGGCCAGATGCAGAAGTATCTAAGTCCCTCGCTTCCTGAAGCTCAGACATGAAAGGAGGCAGGCCTCTCGGCTCGCATGTGCCCTCGGGGGTGTGCATTCCTCATCGGCTCTGCACCTGGGCTGTCACCGCCACATGAGAACCGTGCCACACTCCTAGGCTGCTGAGTCTGCACCAAGGAAATGCCAAGGGTGTTGTGAGAGACCAGAGGGCCGCGGCTGGAGCCGGGGATGGATCAAGTGTCCCTGGAACATTCCTGCACGCTCTCAGAGACAGTGAGCATGACAGCTGGCTCAGGATCCCAAGGGCCGAGTTTCAACATCTGATACAAATTGTGAATGAATGAAATGAACCTTTGCTTCTGAAGCAGGGCTGGGAGCTGTCCTGGCAGCAGCTCTGATCACAGCCCAGGGGCTCAGCGGTGAGGGACCTGTCCCTCTGGGGATCTGGGACAGTAGCCCTGAAACAACCCATGCCTTGGAAAGTCCTGTGGTCCTGCCCAGCCTGGCACAACCCCCTCTGGCTGAAGGACTGCCCAGCTGCCCTGACCCAGGCCAGCTGGTGAGCTGTGCACGTGTGCTCGCCACTGAGGCGAGGGGTGGCAGCATGTCCTGCAGTGCGAGGGGGCATCGCCTTCCCTCCAACTGTCCTCCAGAATGGTGTGCAGCTTTGTGGGGCAAGGCTCTGGGGCCCAAGTTATAAAGAGACGGTCTGAAGAGAATTCAGCCCGCCTGGGCACCTGCATGGGAGCACTCCCCTCCTGTACTGCATTTGGCAGGCTGGTGACAAAGGTGTCCTTTGCATGCCATGTTACCATCCTGCCTCAGCCCGGCCTGGGTCCTTTTTGGAGGAAGTCAGGCTCTGAGGGGGGAAGATCTGCCTGTGCCACTCAGCGATGTGCAGCGGGAAGACACCGAACTGTCTGCTCTGCCCTCCTGGCTAAAGGACGGAGCTGGCTGCAAGAACCAGAGGGTGTGCCCAGCTGCACAGCAGCCCGGGCCTTGGACAGGCAGCTCCCAACAGCACAGCCAGACAGGTACTAGGCCTGAGGGGCAAGCTGCTGGGAGAAGGTACTCAGGGCAGAAGAGAAACTTAGGAAACCATGGTGGGATTTACCAAACCAGTTTATTGCTGTGACATCCTCTGGAAGCCGTCAACCAGCCCCTGACAGACAAGGCCAGGTGTGGGCCCCGGTGAGCCGGTGCACGTGCCCGGCCTGTAGCCACACAGCTGCTGCCTGAGGCCCTCCCAGTCGAGGACTGGCTTTCTGGCAAATTGGCTAAAACCCAACAGGGAAGAGTGATGCTCAGGCAGTCTCCACCTCCCCGAGACCCCAGTCCTAGACAGTAAAGGAAAATGCCATGAGTACCCCTCCCTCCCCAGTAAAACCTGCCCTGGTCCCCCAGGCCCCACCGTGGCACAGGGAGTGCCCTGCACTCTGCAGCAAGCCAGAAACCCAGACCGGAGAGGTGCTGGCCCCTCACTCACTGTCCCAGCAATCTCCCCAGACCACAGCCCCACTGTGTGCTCAGCACACGCTGTGGGGGCTGGGCTCAGGAACCTCAGGCCGTCGGATCTGAGCTGCAATAGGCCCTGCTGGGCTGCGGCCCTCACAGACACTTCTGGAAGACCCGGTGCAGGCTCTGGGCCAGCACGTCTGTCTCCTCGTAGCCCTCACAGCTTTGCTGCCAGCTCTCTGGCACCTGATCCATCCCATAGTATGCACCAGCAATGGCCCCAGCCATGGTGGCGATGGTGTCTGTGTCCCCACCAAGTGAGATGGAATAGATCAGAGTCCTCTGGAGGCTGTTGAAGGCGGAGGGGATCTCAGGGTCGGGCGCCATGCAGCGCAGGAAGCAGTAGATGGCGGTGGGCACAGACTCGAAGGCGGCGATGCCGTTCCCTGGGGAGGAAGGGCAGATGACAGGGCCCTGCCTGGCCTCCAGCCTCAGGTCACACTCTCAGCTGTAAGGAGGGGCTGGATAAGATCACTTATCGCCCTGCTTGGATTCGAATCTGGCTCCACTGGGACAGGCACCTAACGGCTGAGACTCCTGGCCTTGGGTTCCATGACTAGTCAGACAGCGCAGAGTTAAGAACTCTCTGGGGCCAGCAAGTGGCAGGTGGTTAAGGCGCTGACTCCCACATGGCTGACGGTGGCCCAAGTCCCGGACCTGGCAGCTTGCTTTCTCACTTTCCCTCTCTTTCTGGTCAAATGAAAAAAAAAAAATAGAAACAATTTAAAAAAAATTAAGAATGCTCAGTCAGGGGCCAGTAGGTGGCGTGGTGTTTAAGGTGCTGGATCCCACATGGCTATCAGTGCTGGCTGGATCCTGGACCCAGTAGCTTGAAAAACGCCAGGAGCACATACATGGGCTGTATCCTGGACCCAGTAGCTTGAAAACCGCCAGGAGCACATACATGTGTGCCCCTCCTCGGAGGGCTGGCTTCCCACTTTCCCTGTCTCTCATGGGTGAGAGCAAGCACCCTATGGCAAAAAGACTTATTAGATAGATAGATAGATAAATTGACAGATAAATAACCAACCCACCCACCCACTCCCCGGGTGTGAGGACGGGACGAGAGCATGTCTGTGCCATCACGGAGCCCAGGGCTCACTCGGTGCTGGATAAATAGGCACCCACGACAACACGGGCCGCAGACTGGGCTGGCTGCCGGTCCGGGACCGGGCCA